AAAAAAAATTAGGATTAAAAAAATAATAATTTAGGAAAAATAGTAAAAATTAGTAAGCATCTGGGAAGGACGTGAAATGGACATGGAATTTTAACTTTCAACTTTAACACCAAAACTCTGCTCTGTCTGTGGAGATATTCTAAAAATCAAAGCAAAATATAAATATTTGATTATTTCTCTTTCTAAATATGTGTAAAGTGTATTTCCAAAATTTTTTTTAATTTGAAAATTTTGCAGATCTATATAAAAATCAAGTAGGCATCTGGGAAGGACACATTTGGGAAGGACATTTTGTCCATTGCTAAAAAAATGTGAAACAAGGCTAAATAGAAATATTTAATGATATATTTACTGTACCAAGATAAGTTTGATGAATGACATCAAAAGTAAGCAGAGTCTTCTATGATCATATATTTCATCACCAAACATTTTACTATTTTTGGCTATGATAAAAGGTCTCATCTTCTATGATTATAATTGAATAGTATTGTGACATTTTATAGTAAGTCTAACCAAATTCATTGATTAAAATTTTATATATTGTCTAGATTATAATAATTTCAAAATTATTCATTCAAATGAAATGTTTCAAAGTTAAAAAATATTTGGTAGATAATTTAAAGTTCTACATGTAGATTATCTTGAAAGACATAAGGGTTTGGGTGTCATTGGTCACATGACCTCTTATTGTCCTATCAAAATGCCTCATGCCCTAACAAAATGCTGGGTGTTATTCTGAAATGATTATTAATTTTCATTTAATTTCTCATTGAAATGTTTCTTATTAAAATTTCTTTCATGGGTTGTTGACCCATGTCATGTTTGAGGAGCTTGGCCAAATATGGGAAATAACCTATATTAAATGTCTTAAGCCTTTATTATTAAAAATGATCAATATTTTGAAAACCATATCAAAAATAAAAATGTCCTTCCCAAACACTATTTTATAATTTTTCCAGATAAAAGTGTCAATAAAGTCATAATTAATCATCAAAACCTAAAAATTATTTTGGATTCTGGTGTCTTGGGATGTCTGATTTCAGAAATTGTAAGTTTTGTAAGTAGCAGTCTTTTTTGAAATTTTAAGGTCTGCAGACCAAATACCACGGAATGGCCCTTAAATAAATTTTTAAAATCACTCCACACGCCACAGGCAGCAGTGACCTACTTTTGGTATGAAGCATGTGTAAACAACTATGACTGTGAAAACTAATTTCTGTAGCCATGTATAAAATGATGTGGTCTGTGCCACAGTGTGGACACCTTCAAATGGTGCAAAGGCAAATTTATTTATATAACAGGCTGAGATAGTAACACTTTATCTTTAAAATACATAGCCATTCCACATTTTGCAATTATGGCAAAAGTAATGCATTACTAAGTGGCTTAGCTGTGAACAGCCTTTTAAAGATACAAGTAAATGTTTTTGTGAGTGTCAGTGTATGTCAGGCAAAACAACAGCGCTTAGAACGCTTCCAAAATTATTTATTCTATATTCATACAGTACTCCATCTCATGTAAACCTACTGTCACAGGTGCATGCTGTGAACTAGTAACTCTCGGTATTTCAGAGGTAAATCTTTTATCCTTGCGTAATCGTGTTTCCCCGATACGTCCTTGAACTGTCCCGGTCCTAGGTCTGAATTACAATGCACTTCATTATGATAACAAATAAGTGCATAAAGGTTCCTAAGGCAAAGTGGTGTCATTGAACAATACTGCCAGGAAAGACAACAGCGCCTAAAACTCCTCCACAATCATCCGAAACAGCCATTGCCGCATGGCCCCGATTTTTCTTCTTTCCCTTTTTTGTGATCTCCCAACCCAGGAGAGCTTAATTCTCTGACAACTACCCCCTACTAAGAAAAACATTTACTGTTTTTCAATTAATAAATGGTTAAGGTTACAAACACGGTAATAACCCTTTTACAACTTATATAAAACGTCAACATGTTCATCTACACAACAACACATTAATTAGTCTGACGACAACCTCTTAACTGTGTAACACTAAAAAAAAATCTTAACCAATAACAGTAAACAGCTTAACTACTTAAGTTACACAAGAACTCTTACTAATAATAAACTTAGTAACTACAATGGAACTCTTGAAACAACTTGACCACTTCTTCACTTACAAATGTGAAACTTAATATAACATCTAGCACAAACTTCATATTTAACACAACCTACTGAGGTAATCTGCACCCACATTATCTGATCCTTAATAGCTTCGACTCTGAAATTATTCTTCAGATAAAGTGCCCATCTCATCAATCGACCGTTTTGTCTTTGACTTCTGGAGGTAGGTTAACGGTTCATGATCAGTTTGCACTGTGAACTCCTTCCCATACAAGTAATTTTGAAATTTTTTCACACCAAACACTACACCAAGACATTCTCGTTGAAACTTTGTGTCAAGTTCTTGCTTTTCATTTCTAATTCATGGTTTAATCTTAACACTTCTAATTCCTGTTTCTTTCTTTCATCCTCACGTACCCGTGCCCTCTCTTCACGCTCTAGGTACTGCTGTTCACATTTTGCAACATACTCTCTCAACTGTTCAGCTTCATACCCTAACTTCTGACCATCACTGATGTATTTACTCGTATCCATGCTGTAGGATGTTTTCTAGCTGTCTATAGGTAAAACGAATATCTACTCAACTAAAGAGTGCTACACACTACTCTACGTACAACAGTGCTTTACTAAATCACTTAAGTACACTTAGCACTCTACAGTTCTATGTTACCACACTGTATCACTACAGCAGACTACCACCTACATGTGCTGTTACTACACTTCACTTAATTACACTCCTGTAATGTAACACTGTTGAATATATCCACGCACTGTACTTCTTGTAATGTAGACACAACTAAAGGTAACACGAAATCATCATNAGCAAGACATTCTCGTTGAAACTTTGTGTCAAGTTCTTGCTTTTCCATTTCTAATTCATGGTTTAATCTTATCACTTCCAATTCCTGTTTCTCTCTTTCATCTTCACGGACACGTGCTCTCTCTTCACGCTCTAGGTACTGTTGTTCACATTTTGCTACATACTCTCTCAACTGTTCAGCCTGATACCCTAAGCTTTTTCCATCACTGATTTATTTACTCGTATCCATGCTGTAAGATGTTTTCTAGCTGTCTTTAGGAAAATGAATATCTACTCAACTAAAGAGTGCTACGCACCACTCTACATACAACAGTGCTTTACTAAATCACTTAAGTATATTTAGCACTCTATCAGTTCTATGGCACCACACAGTATCACTACAGCACACTACAACCTACATGTACTGTTAATACACTTCACTTAATTACACTCATGTAATTTAACACTGTTGAATATATCCACACACTGTACTGCTTGTAAAGTAAACACAACTAAAGGTAACACTAAATCATCATACCAACACATTACTTCTCTTTGTAATATGAACACTACCATTAGGTACAACTGTATTACTGCTAACCACTGTTAGGCAGTACCAACACATTACACACTTTTGTAATGCACAACACTACTATACTGTCACTGATAACATTTAAGTGTCAGTTGATCAACTTGAATAAACACTGTCAGCTGCATGGGCTATAATGTTCATAACACCAGTCCACTTCTAGTATCACACGGCACACAACTGTAGCTAACGGTATGATAGCATATGTTCCAGTCAGTTCGTTTCACTACACTGAGCATCACACAGTTATTATAGTTATCAAGGCTACAACTCACGTCACACGTTGATATCGGTTGTTCCACAGTCAGCATCGTTCCGCTGTCTTTATTCAGCTCCCGGACGAGCCCCCAAATTGTCAGGAAAAACGACAGCGCTTAGAACGCTTCCAAAATTATTTATTCTATATTCATACAGTACTACATCTCATGTAAACCTACTGTCACAGGTGCATGTTGTGAACTAGTAACTCTCGGTGTTTCAGAGGTAAATCTTTTATCCTTGCGTAATCGTGTTTCCCCGATACGTCCTTGAACTGTCCCGGTCCTAGGTCTGAATTACAATGCACTTCATTATGATAACAAATAAGTGCATAAAGGTTCCTAAGGCAAAGTGGTGTCATTGAACAATACTGCCAGGAAAGACAACAGCGCCTAAAACTCCTCTACAATCATCCGAAACAGCCATTGCCGCATGGCCCCGATTTTTCTTCTCCCCCTTTTTTGTGATCTCCCAACCCAGGAGAGCTTAATTCTCTGACATGGGTGAAGACGGTTTTTTGTTTGTTTGTTTGTTTGTTTGTTTAGGTTTATTAAAAAAAATTATCAATTTTCTTTTGATTGAATTAACTATATTGTCTCTCTCTTTACTTAATTCCAGTTTATTGGGTTTAATTTATTTATATCCTTTCTCTGAGCGGGTTGCGGTGTCCATATTTAGGGTAGGGCTATATAATCCTCCGTTATTGCATTCAGATACGATAACCATGCCAAGTTGTGAGTGCTGTGTAACACTTTTCAAAACATCATAAAACCTTCCTTGTTTAAACTGCGCCTCCAACTTACTTTGATAAAACTTCCATCTCCTTCGATCATTTGTTTTGCTATGTCGGTGCACGTGCCGCGCGCGTCAGCAGGAAGATCTGCGTCTGCTTCCCAGTATCTGCTAGCAGAATGGGCGAACCCCGAAGCGGGGGTGGCGTGCGTTATGCGAGTCGTGGTGATGATACCGGTGGACTTGCCTGTAAAAATATTCTATTTATTTTTTTTTAACAAACATATGCACTGTTTAATAAATAAGTGTTTAACAAGTGTTTCATAAGCAAAAAAAATCTAAAATTTACTAAAATTAAGAAAAGTCAGGAGCACAAGCGAAGTCGGCTGTCAGTATAAATCTGCCACTAGAAGCACATGTTCCAGACATAAACCTAAGGGCGCATTCCCAATGACAATACCGTTCTACGTAGTTCGATCCCAATCAACAGGTACTCCAGCTGAATGCTATCAGATTAATAGATTAACAGGCCTCCTATTGTTACCAACGCACTCGTATAACGACCGGCTTTTCTGAATTGCTCTCAAAGGCAAGAGGAGGGATCTTTAAACAGATTAAAATCTGTTAAGCTGATTGCATTCAACGAGAGTCCCCGCGGAGTTGGATGATCTACGTAGAACGATAGTTTCATTGAGAATGATCAATAAACATCACCTTCAGCGTTTGCCCATTTCAGTATGGAATCTACCGAGGCGCCCTCTTCTGAGGTGCAGTTACCAAACGAGGCGCGGTCGTCCACACCAATCAGCCCAAATTTGGTCTTGACGCCACACAAGATGGCCGTGGCTGTTCCTGCAGAATCGCTGACCATCCGGTCCGTGTTATACGTCTAGAAATAACGATTCCATGTTATGTATGCATGCAACAGCTGTTTAACATTTATAGTTTTTGACTCTACATGTACTAATACATTTTCATAGTTGGAGTTGATTACCCCATGATGACTTTCAATTTGTTTGAGAACAATTAAGTTTGAGTACATACAAGAAAAAGAGAAAATTTCTTTGTGGGAACCCTTTCATCCGACGTCACGTGAGAAAGGAAAACGAGCGAGAATCCGCGTGAGGTGGGGCTAGCATCTCAGCAATAACAATAAAACTCTATGCGCCGGGAAGGTCGTCTTGGGAAGAAATACACGAAAAACATAGTGATTTCCTACAAGAGACTGAGATTTGACAGAGCTTAAGATGAAATAACCATAAAAACCTTAAACTGACTGCCCTCCGCGAGAGTCCTGCAGAGTTGGATCGGTCTACGTAGACTGATGGACGCTATGGGAATGGGGCCTTAGGAACCTTAGTCCGAGGGTCAAATTTGGCGACCCATTACAAAGCTTGCCGTCTAATCCGCTGATAGACACTGAAGAAATATCCATCTTTTCAAGTGGGTCGGCCATATTTGACCTTCGGACTAGTCAGTCCCGTATTCTGAATGAGGCCTATGTCACCTACATACCTTAGACAACCCGACATACGGGAAATTCTCGAAAAACAGACTCCCCTCTTCCCCTGTTTTGCCTTGTAACTGTCCCTTGTGGATCCGAGCCGCTGTCACTGTTGACACTCCCAGCCCGTCTCCTATAAATATGATGACGTTCTTGGCGACGTTAGTGTTCGGTTTGGTGTTCAGTTTCTCTCTGAGTTTTCTCTGGCCGAGATCCATCCAGTAGTCCTTGAGTTGCTGAGGCCCTGTGTATGACATGAAAGTATTGAGATTAAGAGAAATAGATATGTAAAATGTATTTTAATTTGTAGAATGTGTAAATAAGGTAGGGGCCTATTTTTAAAAGATGCTTAAAACATGCAGTTATCGCACATATGCTTGGTGTTTATGGCGACATTTGTGTTTGGTTTGATTTTCCAATTACACTTCACCGTCTTCTCGACCAGCTTCACAAAACAATTAAACGTTATTTATCAGTTTATCTGATTGCACTCAGCGAGAGTCCCCGCGAAGTTGGATCGATCTACGTAGAACGATAATGTCATTGGGAATGAGTCCTAGGTTCAAACCATCCCCCGGGGCAAAGAGTTTGTGTTGGAAAAATGATTATTTCTTCTCACAGCGGCGTGTATATCTGTCTTAGTTATGCGAGGTAGGGCATCATCCATACTTCTTGACATACTTGAATGAGAGCCGGGAAAAGGGTGCTATGATTTATATGAAAATTATACGGTTAAACCAGTGTATAACTATATGTTACGTCCCATTCCCATTAAGACACAATCTATTTTAATCTTTGAATCTGTAATTCTCGTGCCCCAGGACCCATTTTCATAGACACAATCGGTCTACGTAGATCGACCCAACTCTGCCGGGACTCTTACTGAGTGCACTTAGCTCAATAAAGTAAAGCTAGTAATCATAGGAGTACGTTAGAAACAAGAGGAAGCGTATCATTCAGTTTAGCCGGATGCACTCAGCGAGAGTCCCCACAGAGTTGGATCGATCTAGGTAGACCGATTGTGTCTATGAGGATGGGTCCTGGGGCACAAGAATTACAGATTCAAAGATAGGAATAGCGCTGTCATGTATTATCATAATAATAACTCAACGTCATGTGTCTGTATATAAGTTTATGTAATAAATGATCATATGCCTGCTCGTGTATGAATAATGCCCGTTGGGACGAATGGTGTCTATGGGAATGGGGTCTTAGTGAACCTAAGGATTGCGAGTTCATGTTTTTTTGCATATCATGCGTGAAAAGAAAGTTTCATATTACACGCCGTTATACAAAGTATGCGTATACTAATACCACTCCTCGGCCTTACCTGAATACCAGTATAAGATGCGTATAAATAAAAGAGTAATTTATGCAATTTTTACTTGATGACGACTGTAAAGTAACTCGTTTATTTGGAGGGGGTGGTCACACACTTTGTCTTGGTTAAACTTTTGGATAGCTAACTACGTTTTGAATATTTGAATAAATGAAATCCGATAAGTTTTGTCTGATTAAAAAAAAAAAGGCATGGCGAATGCCCAAGTCCGAAGATAGATCTGCCTAAGTTATTACAACCCAAACAAGTCTGACTTCGATATGCTCGTAACCATTGAACTTAACGTATCTCAACTTGTCGTGATTACAATGGCGAGGGGGGATAACAGGGTGATTAGAATGGCCCCTGTTATGAGCTAGTCGTATTTGACAGCTGCTCACATGAGTCTCTCTAAGTTAGATTGCCCCTTCTACATTGGACACTGGCTTCTAATAGCATGTTTTCTCTTGTTTTCGTAACGTTGCGTGAGTAAGCCCATTTCAAACTTGGGTGCAGTTTGCCCTCCCAGCGTCGGCTGATGATAAGTTAAATGTGCCATCTAGATAAACATAGGGAATACGGAACTAATTTGTGCAAGTGTGCTTTCCTAAAACACAAGTCAATCCATGGGCGTAACTAGGCATACGCACGGATGCACTGTGCGTACAATTTTTTGGCCAACCATGATATTATTTTATATAAATTTAGTGTATTTTTCACGGAATATAAAAGAAAATCCTCTGCTTATTAAAGTGACCTGTATGTACAAATCCTCTGTATCAATTGTATTGGCACAATTGTTCTGACCACCCCCCCTCCCCGTCTTGCAAACTGAGGTTAACAATGCCTGTAACCTTAACAAGTCCTATCTTAATCGTCCATCTAACTGGAACTTCCTTTACCTCTTCATTGGAGGGTTCAGTGGCCCTCAACTCTTCTGTACAATCTTTCTTCAGAATATCAAGCGCATTCTCACTGGCGATATTATCTCAGGTAAAAATCTGCCTGAGTGTTATTTTCAAAGAGCAGCTCGATCCCGCAACCCTAGGGGCACTAGATAAAATCTGGACACCAGGTTTAAGATGGAGCTAGAGAAACAAAGGAATAATTTTTCCTGCAAAACTTCAAAGAATTTTGACACGGACTTGACCCAGCTTACCCCTTCAAACTAACAGGGTGACATGGGCAATTTTTACAAACAAACAATTCAACTTAGATGTATCAGAGCTCTGTCGTGTCGTACAATTGGTTGGCTTTGGAAACCATGCATCCACATGTAAGGTGAATGAAACCGTATGTTAGTTCAACTCAGAGATGGATCCAGGATTTTTCGAAGGGGGTTCCACATATGCGAAGCTAGCCTCCTTTTAAATAAATATACCGTTCTGGGTAATAAGAATATTGAAACTTTTTTGATTGCGAGAATATTTCTGACTAAATGATGATTTTATTATTAATGGAAATTAAGCTGCGATGTGTGGTTCACATGCAGGGCCGTAGCCTCCGGCTGGGGCAGCTGCCCCCCCCCCTCCTGGGATTTGAGGTGCAAAAAAAATGATAATAATCGCAGAGGTAAAAAAATGATTGCAAAGTTGGTTTCAATTCTGTGAGAAAATGCACTCATGGCCACTAGACAATCATTCAACAATATGTTTACAAAGGTGTATTGTTTTTAGCCAACTCAGTTCATGCCAAAATGCTCACCCTTCCTTAGGAAATGAAGTCCAATTGGCGTGTTGTGTTGAAAAAATGACTGTACTTATGGCAAAATGAACCCACAATTTCTGACTTCTGATTGAGCAAAAAATAATAGTTAAAATGCACCAGAATGCAGTATTATACATACAGTTTTAAAAATTTTTCCGCATCGTGGGAGGGGGAACCCCCTCCCACACC